ACACTGAAAGAAAAAGTTTATTTTACAAATATAATTCAAATGATTTGAACCTTTACATATATATTTTTTAATTCTCAGTTATAATTAACTTGTTTATACGAAGGATCCTTACTTTTGGTTGGGCAGGAGGCTGGGCTACGCATGAAACCTCATTTTCATTTCTTACTCTCTCTATCTTTAGAATCCCAATTTTGACAAGAATATGGTCAGATAAGGGAAAAAAAAACCCTAGAGGGGAGTTTTTCTAAAATAAAAAAAAAATCTGGGAACGACGACTTCTCAATTTTTTTTCTCAGCAGTAGTTTCTGTTTTATTAAAAAAGAAGAATTTTTAAAAAGAGTTTCTACCAAAAATAGAAAACTTAATCATGTGTTTTTAATCACAGAAAAGAATAAACTAGTTTTTAAATAGATTTTGTATTTAACCAAAGTTTTTATTTAAAAAATCAATCCAACTAATTCTATATAAAAAAAACTATATTGTGATTCTAGAATTTGGATTGAATTTATGTACAAATTCTATAATGAAAAAAAGAACTGCATTTATTTTTTAATTGTCCCAATCCATCTAAACTGTCTCTTGATTATTTCTTTACTTTCACACCAAAAATAAATATATATTTTTTTAATTTAAAAAATAAGTACAGATTTTCTTATTGCAGTCTAGAATCCCAAGTTTTATGGTATTAAGAGAGTAACTAATGATATCTTATTAGTGACTTATTTTGTCCACTTTAAAGAAAAAATAGAAATAGATAGGAGAAAGAAATCTTATGTGGAGATTTTCTTAGAACTTTTAGTGGGTCATAGGTTTATTAATTTTTTTTTGGTGCATGTTTTTCTCTTTAAAGTGAGTTTAGGAAGTAATTAATAAAATGTCATTAGTTGCTTTCTGAACAACATAAAATCTTATATTTCAGTCTTGCTAAATCGTTTCTCGTTGATTTTCTTTTAAAATTTTACAAAAGAATAAATTGATTTTTTTTAATTAAAAAAATCAATACAAATTCTTTATAGCATTTTTTAAAATGTGATATTTTCCGAGATCTCTTTCTATTTGGAAAGATGTTAGCCTACCCTAGAGTGAGCATTCAGGTAATTTGGGCAAAAGATTGCCATTTAGAATAATTACTCGAATTAGTCCTTTACATTTTTATCCAACGAAACAATTCATGTAACATGGATTTTTACTCGAAATTCCTTTAAAAATTTAAATGAGCTAGGTAAAATCAGGTCTTAGAATTGTTTTTACCAGGTTCAAGAATCCATTAGTTTAAAGAACTTATAAATAAATAGACGCCATTTTCAGTGTTCTATAAACAAAATTTCAATTTTGAAGAGGGTGGTGATTATGCAAACACGTACGGTTCTCATTGCTCCATCACCTCAAGGGAGCTAGTATGAGCCCTCTAGATGTGTTGTGTGGATGGAAGATGACTTTAACCAGCTCTATATAGAAAAATATCAAGCAGTAAGCATGCTGCAAAACAGGAACCACCAGAACACATGGAATGATACTTGTCCTAGTATATCTATCTTCTTTACAAACCCTATCATAACCAAGGGCGGTTCTATATACAAAACTTGGGTGGGTATGTTGTCAATATTTTTTTTGTACTATTATTATATCAGTCCAATTACATTTAATTAAATTAGCTCAAGAAAAATATGTTGTCTATAAAATTAGCCATTTCTTTTAAATTAAAATTTCTATTTTTTTGAGTTAAAAGAGTCAAAATAAAAAATCTTATTCTTCTCATGCTAGATTATTATTGTTTCTCTACATATTTAATTCACAACATTTAACAAAAGCAATATACCTTTTCTTTCTCCATTTATTCATTACTCACAAATTCAATTTGATCTCATTTCAACTACTAAAATATTGTTTTAAACTTTAAAAGATATTAAATTTAATTTTTTTATATACATATACAATATGTTTGCACACAATATGAGATTGACATGTCTCATATAAAAAGTTCTAAGTTATTCATGTCAACAACAAGGATTGATGATAATTTACTATTATTATTATTATTATATATTTAATTCAATAATAAATTTTTAATTGGAAGAGTTAAATTCTAAATTTAATGATGAGACAACTAAACTAAACTTCTTATACTTAGCTTTTTTTTAGAATTTAAAAATAATTTTAAATCATTTAAAGTTGATGTTATATGAAACTTGTTAATAATTTTTATCCTGAAGATTTCAATGAATAAAAGATGTATTATTTAAGATTTTAACTAAACTATTATCAAATTGATTTTATTTATCATAAGAGCTTTCAAAATATCCTACCATTTTCAAATTATACAGAGGATTAATGAAAACAAATAAGTTACAACACAATCATTTGACTAATAAGTTAATTCGTTTTATTTTAACTTTGCATGTTTTCAGTACTATCACTAAAAAGTGAGCATTTTTAACTATGAAGCATGTTAAAAATATATTTCATAATAAAATAAAAAAGAAGTTCTCAGCATATTTTATGATGATTTACATTGAACAAGAGCTTATTGAAGATATCTATTTAAATTTAATTATAGATGAGTTTTATTCCACAAAACATTAAAAGATGTTATTTCAATAGTGAATTTATTTTTACTTTCACTTCAATTTTATGTATTTTTAAATTTATTTTTTTAATATTTTAAGTCATGTATTTGAATTAAAATTTTATTGTTAAATTCATAAATTCATGTTCCTGAATTAATGATTAATCTTAAAAAAAATTTGCAATATTTGTTTAGCCAGGGTGGAATAAATTTCTGGCTCCGCCATTGATCATAATCTAATTTTAATTTTTCAAAACTATCTTTTTCTTAAAAAATAAATTCTAAGATTTAAAAAAATTCTCATTAGTAAATATATCTTTATCTCATTATGTAAACATATATTTATCTTGTTATGTTAAAATTTAACCTTTCTAAAGTAAAAAAAACAAAATCAGCTTAAGATTTTTAAAAAATCTTATTCCTAACTAACTATTCTAAAGCTCAAAAAATAAAAAAATAAAATGTTTTTTATTTGAAATTTTAATCAACATCTAATGAATAATCACAAACTTGGTATGATACTCGTTATAGGTTTTTTTTTTTAAGTATAATAAAATGCAATTTATATTTTTTTTTATGAAATACACATGGAAGTTTTGGAATTTGATCTTAAGTACACAAAATAAAATAGATTTTGTATTTTTAAAATAAAGAAAAGTTTTTAGGATTTTTGGAATTTTTTGAAATTAAAAAAATAAGTATTTTTAATATTAAATTAGTATTTTATAGTATAGGTCTACAATTTAGATATTAAGCGAAATATATGTGAGGGATTTTAAAATAATTCCTAAATTGTTTTTAGAATTTTTTGGAATTAATTGAGAGTTTGTGTGGAAAAAACATGAAAATATAAAGATTGTTAGGAAATCAATAAAGTGTGTTTGCTATATATAACTAAAATTTAGAGGCTTGAAAACTATATTTATTAAACATGTTAATATAAAAATTAATCATGCCAAATATTACTTTATTAAAAAATAAATTCAATCTAGGCATGTTGGTTGAGCTTCCTAGCCTAAAGATCTAAACTCATAAATACAACTCAAAATCAAAAAGAAAGAAGAAATAAAGATCAAAGAGAGAGAACCGATTGAATTTGCTCAAGAATAACAAGAAATTGTAGAGATACCCAAAAACGCAACGTCAATGGTCCTGTCCTTTGCCCATTTGACAATCACGTAGACATGCAAAGTTTTATTTCTCCTATGTTGAGTTTTTTTTTCCTTTTCTTTTTCTAAAAAATAAATTCACAGCATAAATAACATTGCTCTTTTCACAATCGCGCATGCATTTAGCGATCGTTACTTAAAGAAGAAAAAATTACCACCTTAATGGTTTTAAACCATATCCAATGTAATATAAAGAGGTGGAATTTAAAAAAAAAATAACAAAAAAATTGATTTTTTTAAAAAAATCAAGATCTTCAAAGAAAATTCTTAGTAGAACTTGATATATAATGATTAACCAAATATTTTTAAAACTATAGTTAGAATAAAATACAATTCCAAATATATCTCACCACATTAGATTTGGTTAGTGATTATTTTAATTCTCTCAAATGCAATGAATAACCTAAGATTAAAAAAAAAAAAAAAAAGAAAGGGAGCCAATCCTTGTTGTGTATAGGAAAATGTTGGCATTTAATGCTTGGGAAATTATTTTTTATACCCTTCTTGAACCCTTTTGCCAAAGCTTATAAAACATAGAATTGAAAGTCTAATACTATTGGCGCATAATAAAATCTCCTTACAATGCACAAATCCACGTCATCTTGTTGTTTATAAGCAACTCTTTTCTTTTTCTAAATAATGTTACCTATAATTACAAATAATATTTAAGAATTAAGAATTTGAGATTAAATTTAAGAGGTTTTGATGTCTATAGGTCTATCAATGTTTGAACCTTAATGTGTTTAACCTATGTTCACATTGGTAAGTTTAATTTAGTTTTAATGGATGAAAAATGATTCAAAATTAAACTTGATTATAAAATTTTAATTTCAAAACCAAATAATGAAATTGTACAACTATCATAAAGTTTCAACTTGTTGAATTCTTATGACTTGTAACGATAAAATTTTTTAATAATAAGAGCAAAAATAAAAATAAATACGAGGTTGAGCTATTTTTTTAAAATATATAACTCATAATTTATCACCATAATTTAAAAACCATCAATGAAAAATAATAATAATATTTCTCAAACACATCCATACAATAATTAAAAAAATGAGTTATTTTTAAAAAATATATTTCCATTAAAAAAGTTATCATAAAAATATATTTTTCCACACAACAAACTGACCTTGGATATTCCGCCAGCCAATGGACCCACATCTCTTCACGGCATCCGGGAGAGCAACGGTAGCACTTTATATAAGGCGTTCAGAGTTTCCATTTCGTCATGGTTTAGTTATGGTAAGCTAGATCCATATGTTGTGATGATAAAATTCCAAGCAAACCATCCCATTTCAAACATTATCCAAAATCTGATCTACAAAATCTGTGGTACTGAAAAGGAAGGCGTTACCACAGTAACATTTGCTACCAACAGTCAACAAGCAACCTTCAAAAGGAGTTTTACAGCTCACAGAAGGAAGCGTACCTCCATTTGTCATAAACAAGCAAAACTTTACACAACTGCAAGGGTTTACAGTAATAATTTCATCTCTTTCTCTTAGCTCCAGGTTTCTCCGAGGAACCAGAACTGCCTCTCCCTCTGCCCGCTGGTTTTTTCTCGGTAGATGCAGACCCACCTTTTCCTCTTCCTGTAGGCGTCTTCTTAGACTTTGAACTTTCCTTCCCGCACTTCAGTTCCACCTCTACTTGGATTCCTGTTCAGCATAGTTTATATGAGCTCATCCATCCGATTTCTAGGCTATACACAATTTAATAGAGCATTCCCTTCGCAGTTAACTGGATTTTGGATTTAATCAATTGTCGATTCAAAAACCAACTTGGGTATTAAGATAACAAATTGAATTTCAGATTAGCTTTCCAACATGATAAAAGACTGCATGAGAAAATCACACCTTTTGAATTTAAACTCTGAAGCTCAGACTGCAGCTTCTCGCCATTACCAGTTCCTTCTGCCACAAGAAAGGAAAAACAAAGTCCAAGAACTAAGACCAAATATCTAAAAGTTCTATTCAGATGTTGCAATTGAAGAACAATTATTCCACAAGTATATCTTTTTGGACATAGACTCACCATGCCTTCAAAAAAAAAAAGGTGCAGTGTATTGGTATTGATCAATGATCTCCTATAGATGTACTCCATGCTTTGCACAGTCAAAATTGTTGAGAGGTAATAGAATACATAATTGAAACACAGATATAATATATCAGACTGTAAGTTAAACAAGGCAAACAAATCCCACTGTGCTTAGTATCCCTAATTCTACCAGGCTTAGGGAATATATAATAATATATCAGAGGTAATAGAATACGTAATTGAAAAACAGATATAATATATAACATATCCCACTGTGCTTAGTATCCCTAATCCCTGAGAATATCTCTGTTGGTAAAATGTTTGAAAATCTCATGTTGTAAGGAAAACAGATGCTAGTCCTTGCTCACAAAGCAGATCTCTAGTCACTGAAAAATAAACAAGCCACACAAGCAGATCCATAGTGAGTGTTATGCACGTGCACCTGCCATTTTTTATTTTTTTTTGGGGGGGGTGGGGGGGATGGAGAGGAAAGTTGAAGGATAATCATCATTGGATGGTCTATGGTATTTTCAAAAACATAACATTTACCCATATCCTCTGTGTCAGATGAGTTTTCTTCTTCACTTTCAGCCAGCACGTCACCATTTTCCTCTCTTAGACCATCATCAGAAGGTTCTAAAATCGCTGCAACACGCTTCTTAAGGGCCTTTTTCTTTCCAGGAAGTGTGACTAAATCTGCAGCTCGTACCATCCTTGATTTGCTTTCTTCTTTATATGCTCTTGTCAGAGCTGCTTTAACAGTTGATGGTATGCCATCCAATGGATTCCCATGCCCCTGATACACAAAGCAACAATAAGATAATCTGAGAGTGAAAATAGAGGAGACATCAATGATGTATACAAAATAGGGCCACCTGAAATTTTGATAACTCCACAATGGTATCCATATCGTCCTGACTTAGTGAGTATACATTCATGAACTCCACAACCTTCTCAACAGCTTCATCCTGGTTAACAGTTCATGCAAAAAAAGAAAAGAAAATGTCAACATACATAAAACATCTCTCTTCAAATTATCTTCAGAAATCAAAGGTCAAAGGATTTCTCAATGAAATTTGACACCTGGGACAATGTGGCACTCGCTCAAGTGAATTGATGAAGTGAGAATCAACTTCTAAAATCATGCAACCAGACAATTCAACTATTTATAAAAGAGGTGATTATTATCAGGTCATGATGCTGCAAACTCTTCAGCTTTCCTACATGGGCCTTTCGCAACTATTTGGTGTAAATAGCACACAACAACAGCAGGCGCATGCGCGCACTTTTGAGAGGCACTAAAAAGAAAAAGTAAAAGGCCTTGTCCAAGGCCTTGCACAATTACACAGCAATCCAATGAACATTAATTTAACCAGCATTCTTCCAAAGCCTCTGTCCCTTAGCTTCTGTGCCAAAGTCAATACTCCCATTGCTTTGACTTTGAACGAGCAAGTAAATTACGACCTGGGAAGAACTTAAAAAGAAGGCTTTTGGTTTTTGCACGCTGCTAGAGTACTTGAAGCTATTCAGATACCATATTATGAAATATCTATTCCCTCTTCTTTACTAGAAAATTAGAACTATGGCATGTAACCCTACCAGTTTGTTTTAAGAAGTTGAACAGGTGAATCTGATCTTAGACCCAGGCAAGCACACTGCTTGCATTTGGCTATGCTGATAAGCTCCACACATTAAAAAATAGTAATAAAGTTAAACCTTAGGCAGCACCCGAAGAGGATCTGTCAATTGTTTCAGAAGAACTGTAAGGTAGTCAAGTCGAAGCATCTCCCTGCAGGAATGTAAATGAAAGAATGATCACACAGCTTCCAAAGGAGAATGAATAGAGATAAATCAACCAATTGAATTTCTAGATTTTGAGTTGGCAATGCAAGAAGTGGGCATAGCAACACGGCAACAGAAAGTAGCCTTCTCCATCACTTAAATTATTTTAAAAGTGATTAAATATTCAATGAAGTTCAATCAAGCAAGTGCATTCATCTATGCAAGTGCATTCATATATGTGCACATGGATAGGCAATAAATTGATATACCAGAATCGGCAATGTATTACTTCGAAACAAATGAATGATAAAAGCAGGTATAGGAACAGTTACCTCCCCATATTAGATTCACGAGAAGCAAGGAAATGAACATGCAGATCCTCCAACAGCCTCAAATTTTTGCCCGCTGTAGAATTCTTTCCCAGCCACCCACCAAATCTATTAAAATTCCGTTCACCCTGAAAATGAGAATCCATAAAATAAACAATTGAGGTACTAAGAATATAAACATTCTATATACAACAAAGTTATCAATTCCAACTAACAAGCGTGAGAAAGGTAGGCTCTCCAGAACCTTCACCAGACAGATAAATCGATATGGCATATCCTCAAATAAGAAAATGAGGCAATAACACCAAGAAAAGCGGTAGTTGTACAGGTGAAACAGAAAAGAAATAGAAACAATTCTACAAAAGTTTAGTCCAACCTAAATCAAGTGACAAGCTCACCAAACTAAGCTCATTAGTGCAGGCATAAAATAATTGGTTGTCGAAAAATGATGCAATGATTATTACAAACAATTTTTTTTATCAGACTTCTAGGCAAGGAAAAGTTAAAAATTGACTCATTCAAATAAAATATAAATAGACATGAAGATGAATTGGATTCTGTGCAAGATGAAAATCCCATAAAGACAAAAGTGAAAGCAAATGAAGGAAAAGAAAAAAGAAAAGAAAATGAATGATCCTCTGATCTCACAATAGATGTGACTTGGCTAATAATAAGAGTGGAGCCCTGTAGCCAACTGCTTTTGGAAAGCAAGAATAAAAGTTGTATTGATACCAAATCAGGCTATCTGTTTGATTTTCTCAACATAATCTCTGCTTGGAAGTTTGAATCTTAAAAAGACATGAGGCATAATGGCAGGGAATTTTATGCTTTTTAGACGGTTTGTAGCATAGCACAACTTAATCTATTCATCTAAATTTGTTGCAAAATAAGCATACATCAAAACCAACTACTAACTAAAAACCTTTCCATTTGATGTAGCTTCACCAGAGATGGCAAAGCATGTCAAGCTTCAAGAGACATTCATTACCTGTTCAAGTGTCTCCCTTGATCCATGCAACAATGCAGCACTGGTTACAAACCAAAATAGAGAATTGCAATTAGAGAGCAAGAAAAACACATGAAGAACTCTTGATGTTTCCAGAGCAATATGGTGATACATACGGAATGATACAGGATGACAGAGAACCAGTTTGAGAGAGCTGCCACTGTCGATATCTTCGAATCTGCACATTTATTATATCTCCATCGGCAATAGACTCAGCAGCACGTGCAATCAAGCTCATACGTTTCATCCCATTGTCATCTTTACCAATTGAACTTGGCCTATAATTAATGTAGTTTTCCTGCCAAATTACAGAATCAGCTTCCTGCGGATAATTTATGATACATGGACTGTTTTTTGCAATGGTGAAAAACTCTTGAGCTTTTACACAGAAGACAAGTTTCTTCATTGAACATGTTTTGCTTTCTTTCAATATGATTGAATTGAGGTTTGGGCTATGTTACATAACAATGCCCTCCATTTTAGAAAATTGAAATGTTATCATGCAAATCCATTCATCTTTTTTATGTTGTCCAGCAGATGTAGATGTAGAACCACCTCTTCGCCCTTTAGGAGGAGAAATGGGCGATTTTGAGTAAAGTGAGAATTTTTAATTATGCCACTTGTATTTTTAGAGAGAGCATATTGAGGGTTGGTGTCAATAATTGACATTCCACAAAATAGAGAGCCGAACAGCAATTTTTCATTTTTCATAAGCTCACTACCACCAACTGCCGGTTTCCTTCTATCTATTTTCTTCCCCTCAGCTTTAAGTATAACATACTTCACATAGTCAAAAACAGGACAAACCAGTGACCTGGGGACTGAAGATGAAACAAATGCCTTGAATATAAACAGCGTGGAACAGGAACAAGAGCAGGGAACAACATTAACATAATGACTTGGATCACTCGAGTAATCTCCGGTATTGTCACATAATTTTTCATATTCAACTTAGGTTTCAAAACATAATATGAAAAATATTTGTGAAGCTACATACAAAAATTATTAAAATTTTGCAGCGGTATCTTAGGAAATAATTGAGAAATTTCAACACGCTAGCCAGAAAATTTCTAACTACTATCAGCAAAGAAATATCATGGTGTTTTTCTCCAAAATACCAATGGCTAAATTTTGAAAAGAAACTACTTGGCCATTTGAAGCATACTTTCAGCTAAAAATACTGGCTCAGCAGGATTCTGCTGACTGCTGGAAAGGCTAAGATCCATGCCACCCTAACAACATTATCATAGGACTTTCATCACAAGTAACCACCTTCAGAGTCTAAAATTTCCATGGAATTTAATAAAAATAAAATGTGAAAACAAACCTGGATAAGAAGAGGGACCAAGTCAGGATCACTCATACTGAGGTCAATCCGCTCATCCATTCTCAGCTTTCCTCCACTAAAGCCAAACAGCCTGACACCAAAGATGACAATGAGAAACATACTGGAAGAATAAAATCCGTAATCATACAAAGACAGAAACAAAATGAAATAAAAGATCAGCATTTATTGAGCACATTTTTTCATTCTTATTCTAAGAGCAAGAAGAAAGCTTGGCTGCAGGTGCTATCATCCATTCACTTGAGTCAGAAGGAGAAAGAAACAAGAAGAAACAATTAAAAAGGGAAAGATTGGAGTGGAGAACAGATCACGCAACATAAATAACTCATCTATAAAAGTCTAATCATGGATTTTCAAATATAGGTTTGCCTTTCTTTTATTGATAAATGGGTCATTATCTTTTGCATTAGCAAGCAATAACCTGTTCCATGCCTACAGGACTGATCTGACAATATTAGATCATGTTTTACACAAGAACCAACCCAGCACACCTTCTCATAGAAGCTGGGAACCTCAAATATTATGAATTACAATATGCTTGTTTCCACAATTTAAAAAAAAATCACAAAGGACACAGCATGATTTCTTTTTCCTAGAATCCAGTTTAGATTTGTTCCAAGTTAAGACATCATGACTTTAAATAGACAGCATCTAAAACAGCATGAAGAGGTAAGAATTGGATCATCAAGTCATACTTATCCACAGCAGTGAATGGTGAAATATCTTCATCTTTCGCACTTCCTTGAAGGCGCTGTCTTACATCATCATAATTAATGACCGACATTGAAAGGCTCATATATTGTAATTGGTTTAATGCCATACGCATATCTCCATTCACCCTTTCTGCAAGCTCCTCAAGTGCAATCTGCAAGGTTATTAGCAACCATTTATTGCCCGCCAAAATGCAAATGTAAGAAACAAGTGACTAACCAATTATGGGACCTTTCCTGCATTCCAGTACAGGAAAACTGTTGCAATAATCTCTTAAAATTCTTTTTTGGCTATCGTGGAGGGAGCACAATAGGGTAGCTTTTAAGGAGGTAGTGTTACCTCCATATTTTCGAATTTAATTAAACCTTCACTTTCTGTACAGGAAGAAATCATTTTTGTTGATGTGCTTCCTGTTACAGATTTGTAGATGCCCTGGGATTCTTGCAACCAGTTGGTGCCTTTCATTAAACTTCACTTACACAGATATATATAGGAAAAGTATAGAACCAGCTTTTAGAATTTCAAACACTGACCATTTTCATTAAGACTCCTATTCTCAGTAAGTGCAACGTCCAAAATAAATGATTTGGAAGCTTCAAATTTGGTGAGAAAAGCACAATACAGATGAACTATCAGAGGATGTTCACACCAAACCAATTTAAGCAACCAAAAATTTTGAACAAGACAATCATTTACCTCATTAACTTGAAGGCCTTCTGCACTTGCAACTTGATTTAACCTCTTTGCCATCTATAAAACACCAAAATCACTGTTAATAACAAATTATTCCATTGCAATTGTCCCAAAGATTAAAGTATAACCCTATAATCAACACATAGTTGAGTACAAAAAATTTATATTGCGCTAAGCACATTAGGGGCAACAACTTCCTGTGTCACATTTACACAGAAGAGTGCACACCACGCCCAAATGCATGCACTAATTCTTGTAGCACAAAGTGGAAATGCATGATTTAGCACAATCATTCCCCTCTCACTAAATTACAACTTATTCCATTGTGTTCCAAAGGAGTATTGTTACTAGCTTTTTAAAAACATTTGAACAAATGCACAGGTGCTAATATACATGCAAAACCATGTAGAAAAAATGTGACTCCAGGAAATCAGAGGCACAGTGTAGTGGAAATTAGAGATCACTTGAAGACCAGATTATGCTAAGCATATTTATGAATAAATTTGAACTTTCACTAACGGAAAATGATTTGTTTGCCAAGCAACATTCTCCATCGCGTAACCATATAGGTAGCAAATGATAACACCAATTATAATATCTAGCATTGAGTGAATCTAGGAGGCATTGTCTTGAGGAATGATTAAACCCTTGGAGTGCAGGGGCATTGTCTTGAGGAATGATTAAACCCTTGGGAGTGCAGTGTGCAGTTTCAAGTTGTGGTAGAGCC